TCTGAAGGTGGAGGAAGATGATGCCCGTGGAGGAATCAGTAACTCTGGATGGGGCTCCTCGAAAGAAGCATGCGGTGCTCGACGAGGGCTCCTAGCAGCTAATTCTCCTGGCTCCAACTCAGAAGCTCGAACAATCTGGTCACCCCTGGCATCCTCAGTCATATCTGTATAGGTCTTATGTGTCATAGCCTTGATACACAAATGCATAATCAAGGAATAGTGTGCAATCCTAGTCTTGCTGCCTCCATCCTGTATAACTTTAAGGATCCTATCAGACAGAATCCTAGCAATATCGAGGTTGCCATCCCTTATCAGCAAATACAGCAAGACTGCCCTCTCCACATTTACATCAGTCAAATTTGTAGAAGGAATGACTGTGGCATTGTTAAACAAGCTTGTGCGAAGAGGGGTCACATGATTTGTGAAGCGGAGCACACGTGGAGGCTGATGGTTGCTTGATGTAATAGTCCATCATGTACCGGTAATGTTATCATTGCATATGTGATATTAAGCGCAGTTACAATCACAGAATTGAGTTAATTAAATTACGGGTAAACTTTTTCTTTTATTACATCCTTCCTTTTAAACATTAACCATTTCCGTAATTAATTAAAAACAACATTGTAATTGTAAATGCAAAACTCGCGGAAGCATACAACTTATTTATTATAACCCCTCCAAGTAATACCATTAACTCTAGGTTATAAAATGACTCATTTTCAAAAATTGCACAGTGGGAATCGATTCCCAACAGTCAGGAATCGATTCACAACAGCTACAGTAATAGACAGAAGCTTCATTTTGGCTCCCCTGTTTTTAGGAATCGATTCCCAGCCTTCACAGTGGCTGGATTTTACGTACTCTGTTTTAGGGAATTGATTCCCAACAGTAGGGAATCAATTCCCTACTGTGAAATCACATTTTTGACATCTTTTTGACTTCAAGAGGGATGAAGTATCTCACTCCTAACACTTTAATACTTAATATAACATATGTTCAAGTACTAATGTAGGATCTAGGCCCTTCTATCATGCATATTCATTATACCATGTCTCAATTACAATAATTCCCAATTCCAAAGCCATTTAAACATTATATGACTCATTTTACATCACAAATCTCCAAATGCCTCTAAACACAAAATATGTGGCCATGGACAAGTCACATGCTCAGCAAGATGTCAATATAACAAGAGGCATATATATACATGAATTTCAAAAGACTCAGAATATAGTCATGAACACACAAAAGCATGGCAATATCAACATGCAATATGTTCATAACCTAAGTTCAAAATACCAAACACTATGCTATGTGCATCAAATGGAATCCTCCAATATGCTATGCCCTCCATATGCACCTCATGCTCAACTTCTCCACTAAGTGGGCCTCTTACCCGAAGATCCTTCATGCTCAACATAACCTGAAATGATGTCCCCAAACGCGGGGAGAGATATACAAATATATCTCAGTAAACCAAGGGTACTAAAGGATCACTCCACCCAATGGTTCACTCAATGTGCATACAATGATCATCATATAAAATGCATAACATACAAAATCACATCACACTGGGCTCACATCCAAGAACATCCACACAAGGATTCTATTCAAGGACCCCATCATATAACTCCCCGGAAGCTTCTTGGTGCCTCTCCCATGGATGAGACGACCACATCGCAAAACCCAACTGGAACTTCTCATGAGCCCTATGCAGCATAAGTCCCACGTTTGGATCATCCTGGTGTCGCTCCCAGAGTCGGCCTCACGGCAAAACCCGACCGGAATCCCCCAATGAGATATCTCCAGCGGAATTCCAAACCACACACGTCTACTGGCCAGAGATCACAAATATATCACACAACATGCTCCAAGCATGTCACAAAATCAAGCAATAATGCATGAACATGTCATTTCATACAAAGTCAAAGAGCATAAAATCCAACCACGACCTTTCACTAGGTGTGGCAGAACACACAAGGGATAAAACCCAAGTACCGAGAGTTTACCTCAACTCCGTAATTATTTCTCTTCCACGTAAGCTCCAAGCTTATTCCACCTCTATTGATTTCGTGAGAGGGAACCTATACGATCAAACAATAATGATCATCAATACAATATTTTTAAGGCAACCGATTCATTTTCAATTTACTAATACCCAAACCCATTCACTTAGGCCAAAGGACTATTTCACATTTATTTTTCCTTAGACTTCCATATAGGTCGAATTACCACACACACCATACATCCCATATTCTTCCTTCCAATTCCACTATATCACAATATACTATAATCCATTTAAACACCATTTACCATCATACAACATCAACTATACCATTTTTACATCATCAACCATCCATGATCACAATAGGTCGAATTGCTCATGCCCATCAACCTAGGGGTATTCAATCCAATTCCACACTTCCACACGTCATACAATCCGATAATTAACCCATCCAATTACTCTACAACTCAATCATACAATTATACAACATGCCAATTTCACAAAGTATTGAAATTCAACTCAAATTTCACTAAGTTACAATTTTCCAAATCACGATAATTTTATTGCGTCAATCATCATCATTTATCATTCTAAGCATTTAGTTCCTAAGGAGGCATACCATTTAATGCTCCTAACTACCATAACTCAACACACATAACCAAAAACCCTCACCATTTTATGATCTCAATAAAAACTCCATGAGATTGTGAAAACTTACCACCAATAGCTCCTTAGGGTCCAAGGGAATGATCTCCAACCAAAGAATCAACACAAGAATCCCAAAAAATTCACCAAAAAGTCACAAAATCTGTGGCTGTAAAATGGGGTTTTCTCCCTCCACAATGCTCCCCACAAGATGCACTCTACATGAAAGTCACTCACAAGAGGGTGGGGAACAACTTTGTTGTTGGAAGTTTCTCTCAAAAGTGTCAAGAAAAAAATTTAAAAATCACAAAGCTTCAACCCTCATCCATGGATATATGCTCGACGGGAGAAGGAGAAAGAGAGGAGAGAGAAATGTGGGAAATCTGATTTCCTAGTCTCTTTATCCACTTAAGTCACTTAAGTGGATCCCACACGTCAATTAACTTTCTTAAATCACTCAATTTAACCTATAAATTCATAACCTACGTATTTTTCTCATTCACGTCATATTTTTACTTCTCATAAATACTTATCATATTTTTGCGTTTATCGATACAATTATATCGTCAGTATTTTACACCAGTAAAATCACTATTCATCAACTTTTCCGAAACTTGTCTATTCACTTAATTTTTCGTTCTGAATCCATTTTCGGCATTATTTTTACGATTTGAGACCTGCTACTCAATTTTTCTTGTCTCGGGTTATGTGTTTGGTAAATTACCATTTTACCCTTCTTATGCAATTTGACCCTAATCTCAGGATTTTCATTAATCCTACCCTTTAAACCACATTTCATATATAATAATACATTTATAAAAATGCGAGGTGTTATACTTGATGTGCTCTTGCATGCAGTAGGAGCACTATAAAGGAGCAAGTAACACTGTAGGTTTCGAGGGAGGTTGTTGTTCTTCTTTCTTTAGATTTTTTTAAAATCGTTATTTTAGCCTTTTGAGCATTATAGTTGTACTGTGGTAGGGCTTATCTGGTGATAGAGGCTCTGCCTAGTTGATTTCTATTTTAGATTGCAATTTTTTTAATTTTATTTGTTGTTTTTAAGCTCAACTCATATGGCTATGAGCTAATTTTTTAGGGGTTGGGTCTAGTTGATACCCAAACATCAACACTATGTGAATGTTTTCTTTCACCTGCACTTTTAATGTTTAACTCAGTTGTTCAAATCTGTATTTCATTGTTGAAGAATTTCTGTATATCGGCCGAGTGTAGAAGCTTCTAAAGAAATGAGTTGTTGGGAAACAACTCATTTCGGACCCTGATTTGAACATATGGACTTGAATGAGGGATCATTCAAGGGATTCAACTCATACATGAGTGAATCCACCATGTAACTATGACTCTGCTCTTCAAGAATCTAGGTCCCATATGCATAGGGATATGCTTGTGGTTGATTTTGGATAAAATAACTTTTAAGGGATTAAAAGTTAATCACCAATCCAGTTAACTGAAAATAATTGCCGAGCATCTTGGTAAAGAAATTCATCCACTTAAGTGTTATGGGAAGGGGGAACCAAAAGCCCAACCTATTTTTCTAAATATTTTCACCAACTCATTTTCTTTTCTCTGATTTAAAATTTAGTCGCCCTTCTGTTTTACATTTCTTTATAAAAAAGCTTTTTACATAAAAAACAAACAAAACGCTTCTTTAGTTGAATTTTTATTACTTTCCATCTTTAGAAAAGAAAAAAAAACTGAATCAAAATTTAAATCCAGAAAAATTTTAAAAAAAATAGTAACGTAGTCATTGCTATTTCAGAATAGTCTTGTGATTATTTTTATTTTATTTTATTTTTTTAGATTAAATTTAGTTATAGCCATTACAAATTTTAGTCAAGGTAAAAACACCCAAAAATCTTTGTGGGAACAATAACTGGGACTGAAACAAGCGCTATACTACTTGTTATCACATATATTTGCGCACATACTTGCATAATTGTTATCAAGACAACAAAGTTTATGCCAAAAAATGGGGTGTGTACATCATTATTTTGTGAATTAATAAACTTTTACGTAATTTTGCGTGAAGTTTTTGAATTCTATCAAACTCTTTTAGCAATAGCCTTCGGGAAGAAAGAAAAAAAATCACTTATTTTTGTTTATTTAATTTTAGCCAAAACGAATAGAGAGAACATAAGATAAGGAAATAAGTCAATTCTATTATTCGTTCACAAAGTACGAGAAACAAACGATTTCCACTTTTATTACAACTATCTTATTCTCATGAAGTTTTATTTATATAGCATTACAAAGACCCACATATAGGTTTTAGCAAGTGTCCTTTGTTGTGAGGTTTAGCATCAACACCAGCCTCAACATGTTCACCATAACCTCAGCAACCATAGGGACAATAACGACCACCATGACCTCCACGCCCACCATAGCCGCCGCCACGCCCACCATAACCTCCACGCCCACCATAGCCGCCACGCCCACCATAACCTCCATAGCCACCACGCCCACCATAACCTCCATAGCCACCACGCCCACCATAACCGCCATAGCCATATTTGCTTTCATCTACCCCATTTGTGGCAAGATTCCCTGCAAAAAAACAACATTTTAATAATGACCATGTAGCTAGTTTTAATGTTTAAGATCATATTTTGGTTACGTGTATACACGCATGCACACACAGAGACATATATATATATATATATATATATATATATATATATATATATATATATATATATATATCGCTAACAGATTAATGAATCGACAAAGTAGCTAGTCCTCAGTGGTTAATTGTCTAAATGCATATACAATTTCTTCATGACCTTAGGAAAAAGATGTTTTTTTCAAAGTAAAGAAAGTTGATGTCCTCGTAAAATTTCATGGTACCTAAAACTTGATTAAACTTTAAAAGATTTTTCAAACTACTTGAAAAAATCTGCAAAGATATAGAAAATGCTGTTATTTAACTATCACGAGTTATTTAACCAATAAAACCTATAGCTAATGATGAAAAATCTAATGAACAAAATTACCATCTTCTTTGTCATGTTTCTCTTCGAAGTCTTTGGGTATAACCTCACTAGAGATGAGAAGGATAGTGGCCAAGAACACAACTAGAACAAGGGAAACCTTGGAACCCATCTTTCGCAACTCAATGTGAACTAATAGAAAACTTGTTCATATATCGATGTGAAAGAAGTGGCTGAATCTTCTCTATATATAGGCAAAGTGAGGAAGAGATAGAACAAAGACATTAAATTCTTCACTAGGTTGAGGAGTACATTTTGATTTCATTCAATCTTATCTTATAGCTAAAAATTCCAAAATGATAATCAGTGTTACGTGGAGAAGCAATTTGCTTTACTGAGGATATGCATGGTCTTGATTATCTGAATTGGTAGTATTGGAGTAGAGAACAATATGTTGACTTTTTTAAGATTGCTATGACAAAATGCAGTTGCATGTTTTAGAGTTCATGACAAATACTTCAATTAATTCTTGGTGCATTGGAAAATAAAATGACTCAAGATTTGGCATTTTCATTAATTGAAAGTTTTCAAGTACTCTCCGGTCAATTCTCCATTTCTCTCAATCGATATTGCACCGCCTTAAGACTTGTTAGAATTGTATAGAAATTAAGAAGCATATGAATTTGTAATTTTTTTCATTGTTTGAAATAAAGCAACAAACAATATGAAGTAGGGTGCCAAGAAATGGAAATATTATGAAATGGTGTTAATGAGAGGTGGTTGGTCAAGGTGGGGAACCATTGCATAACGGCGCCCGCTCTTCGTCAATTGTCGGCAACAGAGGGAATAAATGTTTGGTGTTACTATAGCATCAAAGATTCAATACATTCCACCAATAGAAATATTATATGTTAGTTAAAGTTTTTTTTTTCTCTGCCAAATTTTTTTTCTCTCCTATAATATGTAATGCTCTCATTGGTGGGATGCATTGAATCTTGGGGCTCTAGTAGCACCAAATATTTATTCCCTCGAATAAATCTTTGGTGCTACTATAGCATCAAAGATTCAGTATATTCCACCAATAGAAATATTACATGTCAGTTAAAGTTTTTTTTCCCTGTCAAATTTTTTCTCTCTCTTATGATATGTAATGCATCCCACCAAAGATTTGGCAGGAAAAAAAAACAACTTTAACTGACATGTAATATTAGTGGGATGTACTGAATCTTTGATGCACAGTAACACCAAAGATTTATTCCAACAGAAGAATATGTCCTCTTTCGTTTTTTCAACGTAAATTTGTTATTTTTGTTTTCTCATCGATTTAGTTTTGTCATGTTTTCTTTTCTCTTCTCTTTTGATCAACAGAAGATTTTTATTTTTTATTATTAGTATTACGGATTTTGTTTTTGTTACATATTATTACGGATTTTTATAAACAAAATTTATTGTTTTCAAGTCTAAACAAAATTCGTGTTCACGTGCATAGACTTTGTGGCGGGATTAGGTAAGTATCTAATGAAGGACTTCTGTAGTAGTTAGTGATATTTTTTTTTTTTCGTGCTTCTTATTTTTTTTATAGAGCTAATAGAACATTTCACCTCTCTTTTAAAATTAATTTATCACTTTATTTATTTTCTTAAATTATATATCAATATGCTCGTCTTCTTGAATTATATATCAATTTGTCCTGATTTGATAAAAGTTTGATGAAACGATAGTCCTTGGTAAGTCATTTAGTCGAGTGAGTGTGGATTAAATTTTAGTCAAATAAGAACATATTAGTATATAGTTTGAAAAGAGGCACAAATTAATATACAATTTAAAAAAAAAAAGGTAAAGTGATAATATTTTATTAAAATGCCGGTATGATGGTTAATCAGCCGCAGGGGAAGAGGAATGATAGTATACCGTTTGGAATTAAGTGAGTGATGAAATTGTATATTTATTAGGAATAGATTAAGTGACAACTATATAAATAGAACAAAATATGAACTCAACGCCTTAATTAAGATTTTGAGTTAATATATTATTGAACTCACTTATTGTAATGAATACACAATAATGATGCATAGTCTCCCTCACATGAAGTCTCCCCCGTGACAGAGCATATTGTGTTGTGCATGCAACGAGAGTAGGCTACGAAATCGATATAGGATACGAGATACGATACGACACACCAACATGTTAATTTTAAAAAATAGCAGATTTTGACACGTTAAAACACGTTTTGATATTAAATTATGTTTTTAATATATATAATATAATTTACATTGAATACACATATCAGCTTATAATAAGTCATATAACTAATAAAATATTCAAATTCCATAACATAAATATAAAGCAAAAATAATTTTTCATGTCTTGTTAATTTTTTATGTCAAATTTCATAACAGAAAATATTTAATTTATAAATTAAGTTTTTATGTTTAGTTAAAAAGATAAAATAAAATAAAATTTGGATCTAAAAAAAATGTGTTAAAAAACGTTGACAGGGTGTTGAAACGTGTCAGAGTATTGACTGCTTATCGAAACGTGTCAGAGCGTTAACCGCATGTCGAAAACATGTGTCGGAGCGTGTCAGTGTCCAACACATATTTTTCGCTCTAGAGAATGTATCCGTGCTTCCTAAGAAATAGGTACTCCCTTATAAAAAAAGGATATGAGAGAAAATAATCATAAAAGTAAGGGTAATATAAATGTATTACTTTTTACCATATTTAATAAGGGGAAGGATCCGTTTACACATTTTTTTTACAAAATTTTACAAATTACACTATGTACTCCCGAGAGAACATAATGTAACCTAGTGTTCTTCCGGGAGAACATAATATAACCCTCCCCATTTAATAAAGGATGTATTTAGTTTTCAGTACTCCTGTTGCACTGAAAATATTACACTATGTAACATATACTATTATATATTACTAAGGAAGTTATACTTATAACTTGTGTTTATTATTAAGGATGTTTCATTTTTTTATGATAATTAGATAAGTTTTTCAAAAAAAAAATTCTTAATAAATAATTTTATTACTTTTCTCTTGATTAAAAGAGTAGCTTTTATATATATATATATATATATATATATATATATATATATATATATATGGGGAATGATCCGTTTACAAACTTTTTTTTACAAATTTTTGCAAATTATAATATGTAATCCCGGAAGTACGTAGTGTAACCTAGTATACTTCCAGGAGTACATAGTGTAGTTTATAAACAAAAAATTGTAAATATAACCTTCCCTTATATATATATGTATATATATATATATATGTATATATATATATATATATATATATATATATATATATATATACATACAAATCTTACTCCCCTTCTCAGTCGTTGATTTTCGTCTCTCTCACGATTATTATTTATTTGAAATTAATAACTAATTAATTAATATGACTCAACAAACTATAACCGTTAGATGAATGGAAATTAATGGTTAGTATAAGGAGTAAGACTTCCAAGTCTTACTCTGGAGTCAAAGTTCTCTCTCTTTATATATATATATATATATATATATATATATATATATATATATATATATATATAGGGGAGGGATATTTTGACTCCAGAGTAAGACTTACAAGTTTTACTCCTCATCTCAACCGTTGATTTCCGTCCATCTAACGGTTATCTATACCAATTAATTAATTATTAATTTTTAATAAATAATACCCGTTAGATGAACGGAAATCAATGGTTGAGATGAGGAGTAAGACTTGTAAGTCTTACTCTAGAGTCAAATGATCCCTCCCCATATATATATATAAGGGTAAACATTTCTGCTTAGATAAGCTTATCTACAGCTACCATTTATAACTATGTTCTCCCGGGAGAACATAGTTATAACATTAAAAGTTACTTTTTTTTCTCTCTCCTCATTACTTTTCAGAACCTGTCTGCAGATGTTGAGAGAGAGAAAAAAGCAACTTTAATGTTATAACTATGTTCTCCCGGGAGAACATAGTTATAAATAAGTAGTTGTAGATAAGCTTATCTAAAGTGGCTGCAGAAATATTTTTTCCATATATATGTATATATATATATAGCAAATTAAAAAGTTTGACACTAAATCTTAACTATTGATTATAACCGTTAGATTTACGAAAATCAATGGTTAGGAAATGGTGTAACACTTGTTATGATAACTTTTAAGGCCAGAATCCTTTAACACTGGCATCAAACTAAAAAGTTTTATAGTCAGTTTGACACCTAAACCCTAAACCCACACTGCAAGTTTTATAGTGCAAGCGACAAGGAATTCAATTAATTCTCGGTGCAAGAAATTTCGGGTAAGGAAAATATCACGACGTAAGACTTTCATTATCATTGACTGAAACTAAGCTTCATCAACTTCTTAGGAAATTATATTTTCTAATAATCATTGTGGGTCACATATTATATTAATAATTATATTGTGCTATTTATATATATTGGGTAAATTAAAGTGATCACTTAAATATTCCCAAATAGATTCCTAAGTGAGTATGGGCTGAATGAGTGGATACCGGTGTTGGGCCAACTAGGTATAATGGGAGCTTATTGGTCCAATAATAAAGATAAAAACACTATAAGGGTTATGGTCCCCAAGATGTCAAATAACAACCCTAGTTTCTCTTCCCCATCGAGAGACGGCACACTAAGGAATACAGTTTTAGGGTGATTTGACTGAGAAAGACTACAAACCCCAAGAGATAAGATAAAAGTTATTCCGCTGCAATGGAGACAGGTATGCCTCCACCTTTATGTTATTATTTAAACTTTTGAATCTTCTTAAAGATAGAATGTTTGGAAAAAATTTGGCTTTATAATTAGGGTTTGTTGTTTGAATTGCAAATTTAAATGAACAATTAATTCTCTTATAATGTTTTGGACTTATAGTTTGAAATTAATCGAATGTTTAAGGTCTTTGGTTTTGGAATTTTTCTTTGTCAAAAGCCAAATTTAATTTTTTGGATATTGTGCATCATTTTCAATCTTTCATTTGAAAAGGCTTATCTGTGCGTCGATTGTGCATTAATTTTTAAGCCTTATAATGAAAAGGTATTTGTTGTGTGCATTATTTTCAAGCTTTCATTTGAAAAGGCTTACATGTGCGTCCATTGTGCATTAATCTTTAAGCCTTATAATGAAAAGGTATTTATTGTG